AGGCAATGAAAACTCGAACTTGAATAATGGAACTAAAGTTTTATTATACAAGGCAACATTCATGACAATACTGTAATAAAACACAAAATTCAAAATTGGATAATGGAACTAAGATCAGTTTTATTATACAAAGCAACATTCATGACAATACTGTAATAAAACACAAAATTCAAAATTGGATAATGGAACTAAGATCAGTTTTATTATACAAGGCAACATTCATGACAATACTGTACTAAAACACAAAATTCAAACTTGAATAATGGTACTAAGATCAGTTTTATTATACAAGGCAACATTCATGACAATACTGTACTAAAACACAAAATTCAAACTTGAATAATGGAACTAAGATCAGTTTTATTATACAAAGCAACATTCATGACAATACTGTATTAAAACACAAAATACACAAATCTGTAAACACGGGAAAATAGAATTTATACCTCAAACAATCACATTGCTATACAAATAAGAAGAAATTATCACATGTATTGTGAAAAAATATGAAATCAAGCCTTTCTTAAAATACGAAAAAAGGTTCAAAACAGACTTTTTTTTTGAATACTTGGTTATTAAGAGTAAAGAAATCACAATAGTCATAAATAAGGGATGTTTCCATTTTATGTTAACATTTTCCTAAATTGGAAATGTATTTCCAATAATACTTACCTCCCTCACACTTATAGCTACTGCCAGGGTTTCTTCCATTGCCCATCTAAGCATTGGTCTGATTTTTTCTTGCTTACTCCAGTCTTTTAATCTACACTCAATTGCCCTTGGTGATATTTATCTCATGATATTCACCACCTACGTCAATGCACCCTCTGTCCTGGTACTGTGTACAAGCACCTCACTTAGATAGTATTATCACCTTTTCGAGACTGACTTCATCCTAGTCTCTAACACCAGCTGTTTGTGGGGAGAAAGGGCTGGATAGTGTCAGCGGAGGTAAGTATTATTGGAAATACATTTTCAATTTAGAAAAAATCTAACTTCCAAAACATACATACTTCCGCTTCCACTTATAACTAGAATCCCACATTGAGAAGGTAGAGGGGTCAGTGAAGTTATTATCCATACAGAAAGCGTCTGCATAGATCATGGGTATGTCAATAGAAGATTGGCATCCTGGTGTGAGAACCTCACTACATCCAGAACAGGTATGCTCTTCACCCTGAACTTAGTTCCTGTATCATGGGTGGAATTGTACATGAGTGATCATCACTATAGGCCAGCACCAACCAGATATCTGAGGTTCCACTACTCTGGGTTAGAATTAAGAGATCTTGGTGCCTACGGCAATTGAACCACAATGTTATATATATATATATATATACACACATACACTTGTGAGTGAATTATGACCTGTAGCCACAATGTGATGCATTCAGAGCCACAGGAATCACGACGAGAAAGTAATTAACTCCGAAGTGGACAAACCTTCTCCTCCAGCTGAAGAAGTCTGAAAGGCAACAACCCAGGATTGTGTATGCCTTACTCAACCTGGGAAACAGAATTCACCCAGTTGAGAATTATAAACACTCATCCTCACTCCCCAACCCTGTGGGCAAAGTAAATTCCATTTGCTCCCAGAATTATGAGGAGGACGTGGAGAAAACTGTACTCAATCAAGGACCAAGGATAGGACTGCTCTGCATTTGGAATTAAGAGGAGACAATGGACCCTCTCCCATGAACAATGTACTGAACCAATACTGATCAAATAGAATGGCCAAGGACACCACAATTGTATAGTGGAACATCAATTCTGAACCAGTATTACGAGTAGGCCCCCACATAGGCTGTTGCTACCCCTACCAACATCTGGGAGAAATATCCAGGGACCAGGTAAGAGGGCCGCCAACTTTGTCATCTTCTCCAAGAGTAGAGGAAAAGCCTCTGTCCACCATCCAGTGACTGGACACCAAGTGTGGTAAGGACTCCCTAACTCAATTAGTAGAATCTGGGGGGGGGGTAATGTGCATTGGGGAACCCTGAGGAACAGTGGTCTGGAAACAGTGCAATAGGCGAACCAAGTTCTCTAAATTTTTACAAGCAAACTGACCTCAATTTATTCAATCCAATGATGAGCAGGATCCCCTTATGCTTTACTCATGATAGTCCATGAGTGTCAGTCCAGCATAGTATAGTAATACCACCTGATCAGCTCCTAAATGGTCTTATGTAACACCTCATTTTTACAGAGCCTGTTGCAACCTGTATAAAGTATATTAAAAAAGGAGTTGCTAGTGTGGAATTGGTTGGATAAAAGCACACTAGCCTGGGCAACACTCTCCACAGAGTGGGATCCAGTGAGAAAAAAAGAGGTAAGGGTCCCTGTAAAGTAAAGAGACAAGAGGGACAAACAATACCCACCCCTCCTGATAATCTAGCTGATATGGTCAAACGACCACAGGGGGTAGGCAAAACCCTCAGAGGAAGAAACTGTCAGATCATGTAAATAATGTGAGATAAAAGTTTTGAGATAAGTCCACATACCAGCCCACACAATGTCCTCCAGTGGGGAATTCAATCAGGCAGCTAAAGACATAGGAATATGATGAAACATGACCCAGCAGAAGGTTCCTCACCTGAAAAGATAGCCCAGAAGAAGCCACATAGGTCAATTTGTGAACCCACCTCATCAAGGTAATCAGGGATAAATCACGAGAAACCGAAGATTTTTAACAAATTAAAGTCAATGCCTATTACCTCGAAAAAAGTTAGTGTGAGCCACATAATACCTCAGGGCCCTGACAAACCATCGGGGGTTGAGTGGTCATGAAGATGAGAAATAGCCAGCAAATTAAGCAGTGAGAAAGATTTATCCTCTTCCCTGGATGCCAGAGTCTTAGGTTGGAAGGACCTGTCTGAGTAGAGAAGGGCATAAGTAGAGTGATAAAGAGTCCTGTGCACATCCAGTGCAAACAACTCCAACCAACAATGTCCACAGGCCTGCAACAACAAAACATACACTTTAAGTGAAAGGTGATACATGGTACATGAGGCTAATGTCTCAAATGGATGTCTAGGCAAAGCATGTAATACCACCTTAATATCCCAGTTAGGTAATTGAATAGGCATTTTTGGATAAAGGATGCAAAATGATTTGTGAAGGCCAGACAGCAAAGGGGACTGAATTTCTAATGTTTAGAATATTCAAAGGTAGTCGATAAAGCTGACTTATATAAGACGATAATAGACGGTGCTAGACCCTTGTCAAACAGCCAGGTCAAAAAACGAGATATGGTTGGACGAAGTGGGTTTAATTTCCTCGTGAGACACTATTGTCGATAAGTGTGCCATTTCTTTGATAAATCTCCATTGTGGTCTATGGAGAGATTAAAACAAATACAAGGCACCTTTAGAAGTTAAACTCTGAAGGACCGCATAACTTCCATGCATGAAGCTTGAGCTTTGGAATGTCTGGGTGTATTATGCCAGATCGGGGTTGCCTCAACAGAGATGGCCAAAGAGGGAGTGCCAGAGGTGGGCACTCTTGAATATATTGAAGAAGATGAAACTATGGTTGGGCTGGCTAATTTGGGGTTACCAACAGCACTCGGAGAGGGGTGGATCAAACCATAGCCAGAACTCTGGGTAACAGATGAATAATCAGTCAGTATACACTGAGTGGTCACAAGTAAATAGACCCCGCCTTTTCAAAAAAAAAAAAAAAA